AATAAATATTATTTTTATTTTTATTTAAACCAGTCATCTGATTTCAATCCTTAAGCAACGGTCGAAACCGGTCATGACTGCTTTAAATAAAAGTAGAAATAATTTAATAACTTTTCCTTGAATTTTTTCTTTTCATTTTTCAGCCAATTGGATCATTAAATTTAATATGATATCTTTTTTATTGAAATTTCAGCAATCTTTACATGATTATCTACAATAAGTGTTGCGCACAGAATCGGATAGACCTATGTTAAACTGTTTGTTATCTCTTATCTTATTGATATACTTGAACACGACAATTTATTATGATGTCAGTTATTTCTGGATCGTATCTATTTATACTATTTTGCTTTTAATAAAATGAGATCGTTTTTGTGTACTCAAAAAGTGAGTACACTCTAGAATCGGTCAGTGTGTCCGGCCGTCCGACCGTCCGTTTACACGATAACTTTTAAAAGGAGAGTCCGATCGCGATGAAATTTTCTACACAGCTTAGTCTCAATAATATCTCGGTCGGGAGAAGAAGATGAGAATGATTGGCCGAGCCATTGCTGAGTTATTGCAAAAATAGTCATTTTTCCCTATGCGAGGATCGACCTATCTCCGCTTTCGTAAAAAACTTTTCCTATCATAGTCAATTAAAACTCCAACTATTATATACCATTCGATAGAGAATTTCACGAGCTACAAAGTGGTATATAAAACATAAGGAAACAAGAAAGCCAACTCAGCTATTGCAAAGATAATTAAACGGAATTCGGTTCTGTTTTTGTCCACGCTCTAATTGATCCACAAATAGAGCTCGTTCTTTCGATCGCAGAGATGATAGTTCGAGGTTTTCTGGGGTGGAGAACTCGAATCTATGCTCCATTCGCCTCGAAATCCCATTGGTTGAAAAGTAACCAATAGAAATCAAGTTATAGGAAAAACGACTTTGTTAGGGTAAATCAAGGTGAAGAGTTCAAATCTTCTCTGTGTTCATCCCCAAATCCTATTGATTGAGCAGTAGCCAATAGAAATCAAGTATTTATAGATAAGGTTTGCCAGGATAATTTTTATATCCCCATATTCTAGAACGATTCATCTGTCTTATTCACTTTTTGAAGTATACATAACTCTCGGATTTAAATCCGAGGTTTCCACATTTATTTTTATAAAGTTTGACCAAAGGTTTTCAGGGTCGGGGAAACATATTTTACAAAGCCTTCATCGAAATTTTTTGAAAATCTTTATTTTGTTTTGAGGAGACCAGGGAAGCCTTATTTTTCGAAAGTCACAATTCTTTTATGAAAATTCATTAAACCAGTACCCATGTCGCTTCTTTTTTATTAAAACCGTCGGTTAACCGCGGTTTGTGAAAAAACCGCCGGTTCGACCGGTTCATTTGTTTTTCATCAGTTTTCGACCGATTTTTTGATAAAATTAATATTGGTCTTTCAAAGAACATAATTTTTTACTAAAAAAAAACAATTTAAGTCTCTTTTAGTACATTTTTTTAGATGACACTACAAATTTTTCTATTGGTTAATGTTCTAACTTATTGTGATTTTTCTAGCGGCATCTTTAATGAAATATTCAAACTCGTAAATTAAGCAAAATTAGCCGATGTGGCTAGTACCGGCGGCTTCAGCGCGTTTACAAATATAGGGAAGCGCGATTTCGACTCAAATCTGACAATTTTCTAAGAGTTGAAAAATACTCATCCAGTAAGAAATAAAAATATATCATGAAAAAGAACCGCCGGTTAACCGCGGTTAACTCCAGTTAACCGAACGGTTAAGCGCCCAGTTAACCGGATGGTTAACCGCGGTTAACCGGCGGTTTTAGACCGGTTTTAGCGACATGAGTACGGTTCACCATTGTTCGTCAATAGAATCAAACTCGAAAATTACAAAAAACCACTTAGAGATTCTGATTCCCCTATCCCGATTATCATTAATCAAATTTTATAGAAAATCGTTATTTTTGAAAAATAGGGCTTTCCTGGCCTTCCCAAGACAAAATAAAATTTTCAAAAAATTTCGATAAATGGTCCGTAAAATGTGGTTTGTCGATTCCGATTACCTTTGATCAAACTTTATACAGTATTGGAGAAATTCCGTGCATACTGCGCGACTATTTTATTTTTTCTTATCTTTGATCCAGAACAGACACACAGACACTCAACATTAGTATATAGGTATATCACTCGTTCTTCAAGCTTGTATCTGGATTTCGACTCCCTTGAGTCGAAGTCTAGAGACACCCGATAACAATAGAAAAAAAAGATTTTTAGTGAACTCTAAATATCGTAGCATTCATACAAGTCTACCAGGAGACAGGACCTGCTTTTTTCTATTGTTTGGTATACTTCAGGACGAAGATCAAGATTTTCATTATCGGTCGATTGCTCTTAATGACACTTTCAAGTACGTAGGAAACAACGGTATAGATCGAGACATCCTTAAAGAAAAGTCAGCCTCGATAGTACGAGATTTTTTATTATTGCTTAATCCTGACATAAGTTCAAACTCGGATCAGCTCGTCAAGTTATGTACATCACGAAATAGCTGCAGAAAGCTGTTCTGGTAATCTAATAAAGGAAAGAGAGACACTTAAGAAAATATGTATCATTTATAACATAAAGAGCAGACATTTGGCAATCAAGAAAAAATGACTAAGATATATGTGAACAATTTCTATGCCGTCGACTGTGTATGATTACGATTTTTTTCATTGTTCACTTTTACTTTTAAGTTATATTTTTGATTTTCACTTTTTCTGATAATTTTATGCGAATAATATATTTTATTTTCAGATGACTAATAATGCACAAAATCAACGTTCACTATATGCCACTGTAAGTAAAATGAAAAGTCAACAAAATTTTTAAAAATTAACATGAATTGTTATTAGTTAATTAATTTTAATTTTTTCTTAGAATCAAGTGGAATCAAGCTCGCAATCAAGTCATAGTATTAGTACTGGTAATAATATTTCAATATCAACCACATCATCATCGACATCATCATCGACATCATCATCGACACCATCATCGACATCGTCATCGACACCATCATCGACATTGTCGATGACGATGTCGATTAGGGATGTCAACTTTGCGTTCCGTTTCTAGGAACGGGGAACGCTACCCCGTTCCTGTTCCTGGAAACGGGGAACGCTATCCCGTTCCCGTTCCTCAGCGTTCCGTTCCTAGAAACTGAAACGCAACATACGTTTCTTTCAGTTTTAACAGAAATTTTACTAACTCACCGAAGGAAAGCCAATTTCATAAAAATTAGGGATGTCAACGTGCCCCGTTCCTCAGCGTTCCGTTCCTAGGAACGGAACGCTGAGGAACGGGAAACGCTGACACCCCTAATCGACATCATTATCGACATTATTATCTATTTTTAAAATCATTTTTTGCGCATCAATCTTCATCAGTAAGTTGAATCAGTCTTTACTATGAATGCTTTCTTACTGGAACATCCTTTTTTTAGATATGTTATTATATTATATATATTTGGTAAGATTAAATTTTTTTTCTCATATAGTTTAAAAGATAGAATTTAACGAGGAGAAGGATTCCCGAGTCAAATTTTTTTCATATGCTTGACCAGAGCAAATCTCAAAATTTGTCATATTACATGACTTTCTTGCTCAAGAAATCCAAGGAATTTATTCACATGAGAAAAAAATATTTCACTGAAACAGCGACTAAAAGAAGTAGATGCATTTTCTGTAGTTAAACATTTTTTCATGAGAAAGAAGTTGAACCAAGAAAGTGATTGACAATCCTATGAGAGTGCTAGTTAGGCAAAGGTGTCATCGATTCATTTTTATTTAAATAACTTCAAAGACGAAATGTATCTTATATAAAAAACTACTTTCAAACATTACATGTATTTTTGACGTAAATTTTTAAAAAGTAGTTAGTTTTATTTAAGTAATTCTCTGATTAGTGAACACAGTTAAGCGATGTTGCATATTTTTTTCAACTGTGACTGTAGTGAGATTTACAAATAATATATTGATTATATATGTCATTGTCCCCTTTCAGTTCACAAGTCCTTTCAGGATCCATCTTTGTCCTACTATTGTTTGTCTCCCAACCAGTTATGAAATTTTGTCAAAAGCATTCAGTTAAATGCTAGATATATAGGTCAGTATAAAATACACAATGCCTCTCCGAAAACTTTATTGGCTGTGATTAAAAATTTAACTTACTTTTAAAATTTTGTCCTTGTTCAATTTTATAGAATTAGCAATTTTGTTAGTCGTAGATCTCAAAGACAGAGCGACGAAACAAATTAACGTTTTCATCAATCAATACCTTATGGAGTCTCCTATAAGGTTATTTTAAGAACTTTCGATTATCTAGTTTCCTTTTTTTTCTGCAAAAGTTCTACGAATGGGTCGAAAACGACTCAACCGGGGGTAAAGGGTTAATATAGTTTAGAACAACAAACCCAGAAAAAGAATGATAGATTTCTTATGAATACAAAATGAAAAATCGTTACTCTTTGCTTTTATCTTATAAACTTGTACGGATATGCTGAACGATATTCAGAATTTGTGCAGCAATCATTATCAAACGGACTGGGCATTATATTTCAAAAGATCGTTGAAAAATTTACTGAAAAAGTCCTGGACATGTTATTTCCACGATAAATTACACAATATTTTATTAAAAAGTAAGCAAAAATTATATGAAAAAATTTTCAGTATTATTTCTAATTTGAATCAAAGATGAGCAGAGGATAGAATATTAAGTCGCAACACACGAAGGTATATGTAAGAGAAATGTTTGAAAATAAGTTCGATTGAAAAAGCATAGGAAGACTACGAAGCAGTGGTGGCTCGATCGCAGGAGGGGAGTGTCGGGATGGAACACTCCCCCAATAATTGCAAGTTTTTATTATTTTTCTATTTAAATGGTGGAAAAATTAAAATGCAGTAAGGACCTGCCGACTCTTGTCAAAAAAGTTCAAAATGACATGATTTTCCCCTCAAACAAGCTATAAAGTGAAGTCGAAATTTTTTCGCTTCGTGAAATAGTAACAACTATATAACCGTGGTTGACTAAAATTCTGCTTTTTAGTTTTATCAATATGTTATTTTTCACGTATAAAGGTCGACGTTGTCGAACAAACGTCATAAGCGTGGCCGCCTTCATCGATGAAAACTCTTAATTAACATACTAGGTTGTATTTGACAACGATTTAATATTTTTCAAAAAACGGACAAGAAAATAAAGTTTCTGTCATTCCACTTGTGTGTGAGCCTCTCTTTTTTTCATATATAAATCCTTTATAAGATGATATTGTCCGAACCGTATTGTATATACAGAAGAACACAGAATAAGCCATCGAAAAAAATTTTTTTTTAAACACACTACTTTTACCAAAGAATTTTTACACCTCCCTGTTCCCCAAAGTTCGAGCAGTCGGCCACTACTGGTGAAATCCATAATCTACTTATGAGAGAAGCAGTCATGTCCATCTCAGCTGAAATCTAACTCTATTGCACTGCCATTACCAGAAGGCTATGGGTCCATGGGTTTTTTTATAGTTAGACCCGGTAAAATGTTAATTTCTAGACCCGAACCTGCATCCGACAAAAACTAACTTTTTGGCCTGGCAACTTCCTAGCTACCACGGTGATAAGGCCGCATTAGATATTTTTAGAGCACAGATCTGAAATGAGAATGCATACGGATATATCATTTTAGCTCGATAAAATATTATTAAAAAATCTCTTTCCTTATTTTTTCTAGAAGTAACAGCTGA